ACATCGAAGACACAAGGGCCACTTTGGGCTCAGGAGCGGCTCTGGTGCTCGGGCCCCGTTCCTCAGATCTGGGTTGGAGGACCCGTCCGCGACCGAGGCTCGCTGTGGCCGCAGAAACCCATTCGCTCCTCATTCAATGCTCCGCATGGCCAATCCGCCACCGTACCTCTGGGCACGGAGTGGGCGTGTCCTCAGGCCTTTGCCTAATCCTCTAAGCCCAACCCTCAATCCTGAGGAGTCTTTAAAGGGCGGGGACCCAAAATTCCGAAATTCGGCGGCTCTTGCCCCCTGCCCCCTGGGCTCGAGGAAGTGTTGTCGCATGATTTTCCCGGACCCAAGAGGGCCCCGAGACGGGCCAAGAGAAGGCCCGCAGGCGGCCCAAAAGGCCTCCAAGACGCCCCAAGAGGCCTCCAAGAGGCCCAAATCATGAATTGTCCTTCAATGTTTGACATAATTGAGCGTTCTCGCCTTTTCGGCTTCCCGTCGCCTCCAGACAGCCCATGAGGCCTCCAAGACCGCTCCAAGACGACCCAAGAAGCTTCCAAGAGGGCCGCAAAACGGCCCGAGAGGACACCAAGACAGCACCAGAGGCGCCCAACGCGCCCAAACCAGCCCAAGAAGGTCACATGACAGCCCCGAACGGGGTCCCAAAGAAGGAACACGAAACGAAAATCCGAGCCTTCCGCCCCACGAGGCTCCCAGGAGGCCCAGGAGGCCCCCAAGAGGCCTCGAAGAGGCCCCCAAGAGATCCAAAAGAGGCTCCAGAAGGCCCCCCAAAAGGTCGCAAGAGGCGCCCAAATTGCCTCCAAGAAGCCCCCAACGAGATCCCAACAACCATCCAGTAAGCATCATACCCACAACCCAGTCGCGGTGGCGGGATGGGCCGAAGGCCATTAGATACAGCACGCGCACGGCCAGTCAAATCATACGAGATACTGGGCAAAGTGCACGAGCTCGACCGTTCGTAAGTTGCAGCGGCAAAAGCCAGAGCGCTACAGCAACGTATTCCAGGGAGCGTGGAGGCTTGCCCACAAAAGGCTGTGCGGCGGACGACGGACGACGACTAACCGACCGACCGACGACGCCTCCACATGCTGTGGCTCTTTCTCCTCAGCGTCGTCCGTCCTCCGTGTGTGGTCGTCGTCGGCCATTTGTCGTCATCATCCGTCGTCCGTGGTCGGTCGCAAACGCCGTCCTCGCCGCTCTCAGTCGCAATCCTCCTCGTCAGTCGTCGGTCGCGCGCCGTCGCCGTCGTCGTCCTTGCCGGCGGCATCGTCGTCGTGCTCAGTAGTTTGGTTCCTCTCGTCGCCCCATCTTAGGTGTGCAAAGTCAGAGCCATAAATTAGCCATGTTTGCGTGCGTGTGTGTGTGTGTTTTGTACTTGCATGTGTTGTATGTTCCGTTCGGTGTTTTGTTTGTGTTTGTTTTGCGTTGTTGTGTTTGGCTTGTGTTGTTTAATGTTTTTTGTTTTACAGCGAGAAGAATCTGTCGCGGTCGATCGCCCGGGGGGGATTCGACTGCCGCCCCGGCGCGGATCGCCCCCGCCAGAAATCCCTCAAAAGAGGGAGCTTGGCCAGGGGCTTTCCCCGCAGACGACCCCGCTCGCCTGGGAGGGCGCGGGGGGTCCTGGATCGCCTGGGGGGGTTCCAGGACGGGCCGACTCGCTCGGGGGGGGGGGTCGGCCCGAGCGGTGGAATCGCCTGGGGGGGTCTCCACCGTTCAGTTCATGCACGAGTCGCCTGGGGTGGTCTCGCGCGGGAACAGCCCTCGCGAATCGCCCAGGGGGGTTCCACGGGGGCGAGGTAGCCCGGGGGGCGCCTCAGAGGATAGTGCACGGCGCGAAGGATTCACGCGAATCTTTCGCGGGACTCTCGCGAATTTTTCGCGGGGGGCCCGGACTCTCGCGAATTGTTCGCGGGAGGCGCAATGGTCTGGACAATCACGCAGGGGGGGGGGGGGGGGGCGAAGAAGAGAGGGAGGTCCGATGCCAAAGACTCGAGGACCACCTCCGGGGCCAAGCGAATGACGGACAATTGGAGCAGGGAGCGGCTAAGGATAGAGAAGGGGGGCGAAGGATAAGAGCTGGAGGGGGGCGCGAGCGGCGCACCGAGGAGCAGAAGCGGAGAGAAAGGGAGTTCTCCGGTTGATCACGCCAAGAAAAGGGCGAGGTTGATGACTAAATTAAGGCTGTGACTTTGCACACACAACCCATGCTTATCCTCGAAGCCAAAAGGGGCAGGGGAGGAAGAACGGAAGGGGGGAGGGAGGGGAGGAAGGGGGAGGTGGGAGAGGGGGGGGGATTTTTTGAGCTCAACAGCTCTTATCCACCAAGTGCATAGAGGAGGGGGGAGGAGACGAAGGGGGCGGAGGAAGAGGAGGAGACGGGCAAGCATGCCAAGACGGAGCGGAACGACGCGGAGACGTGGAGGAAGATGAGCGGATCACAAGCAGGAGAAAATGGGGCCTCAAAATGGCCCCAAGATCGCCCAAGAAAGCCCCAAGAGGGGTCCAAGACGGCCACAAGAGACCACAAGAGGCCATAGTTCGAGATCCACAAGGGCAACGCTTCTCGGCGCCACGCATAACTTCTGGATGGGCGAGTTGGAATGCACGAGCGGTCAAACATTACCAGAAGAGTGATGCAGATGGTGAGGAGCAAGACGGCAATGACGCCCGTGAGATGGAAGAACAATGAGGAACAGCACAAATCCGTCGGCCCCCTTGCGGGGCCACCATGCTGTAGGCCGGGAATGTGCTGCTCCCTGTACCAGTTGCAGCTTCCAGTTTCCACTGTTACAGTTCTGCTTCTTGCTGCTTACTGTTCCTTGTTGATGAACGCGCGAGGGGGGGGGAGCCCAAACCAGCAGAACCACGCCCTGAGAAGGTTCTCAGAATTTCTGGGGGGGTAAAAGTTGACACCCCTCACGCAGATCCGCAGGGTCAGGGTCCAAAAACACATGGGATTTGCCAGATGTTTGAACGCCAGTGGCACCCCTCACACAGATCGGAGGGGTCAGGGTCAACAAAACACAAGGGACGTGCCACATTCCTAAAATTCGGCGGCGCGCCTCACGCAGATCGGCGGGGTCGGGGTCCAAAAACACAAGGGACGTGCCACATTTCTAAAATTCGGCGGCACCCCTCAAGCAAATCGGCGGGGTCAGGGTCCAAAAATACATAGGATTTGCTACATTCCTGAAATTCGGCAGCACCCCTCACGCAGATCGGTGGGGTCAGGGTCCAAAAACACAAGGGATGTGCCACATTTCTAAAATTCGGTGGCACCCCTCACGTAGATCGACGGGGTCAGGGTCAAAAAACATATGGAATTTGCCACATGTCTAAAATTCGGTGGCACCCCTGACGCAGATCGGCGGGGTCAAGGTCCAAAAACACAAGGGATGTGCAACAGTTCTCAAAATTCGATGGCACCCCTCATGCAGATCGGCGGGGTCAGGGTCAAAAAACACATGGGATTTGCCACTTTCCTGAAATTCGGCAGCACCCCTCACGCAGATCGGTGGGGTCAGGGTCCAAAAACACAGGGGATGTGCCACATTTCTAAAATTCGGTGGCACCCCTCACGCAGATCGGTGGGGTAGGGATATGTCACATTTCTAAAATTCGGTGGAACCCCTCACGCAAATCGGCGGGGCCAGGGTCCAAAAAAACAAGAGATTTGCAACATTCTTGAAATTCGGTGGCACCCCTGACGCAGATCGGCGGGGTCAGGGTCGAAAAACAAACAGGTCCCGACACTGCTTCACGGCAGCGCCCAGACCTCATGATTTAGCTTTTGCATCTCCCATTATCCGAGACAGGGGGCCGGCGGCATGGGGCGAAACCCTTACGGATAACCTCATCAAGCCATTAAGGACCCCACCGGGATTATCACTAGCACTGCACAATAATTAAATAATTATGGGGGGCGGTTTTCGCCGAACGATATGATTGTATTCCACCCCCCCGAGACCAGGGACAATTTTTTATCTGAGAGGCTCAACTTCCGCCAGGACCTGAGAAACAGCCAGCGCCGACAAACATAAACAAAAGGGAGTGGGCGCTGGCCACCAGATCACTAGGGAGCAGCACTGTGAGAGCAGGGTGGTACGCGGGTGGGAGGCTTGAGCAGAGGTAGCCACATACGGTGGACGGCTTTACAGATGAGCTGCAATACAAACTCGTGTGGAACACTGCAATGTATTCCACCCCCCCGAGACCAGGGACAATTTTTAATCTGAGAGGCTCAACTTCCGCCAGGACCTCAGAAACAGCCAGCGCCGACAAACATAAACAAAAGGGAGTGGGCGCTGGCCACCAGATCCGCACTGACAGAAAGAGAGCCAACTTTACTTGTCCACTGGCCTGGAGGGCCGCACGAAAACAAAAACTTCAAACCTACTAACCTACCAGAGGTGACTGGCCATACCTTGCGCCTTGAGCGCGACGAGAGCATCAGAGAAGGCCAGCGCTAACGCCCGACAGAGCCGAGGAGGGTATGGTTCAGCCACTTCTGTCCAAAACCGACCCTCCGAGTTTTTACCCTGGAGGTTCTGGTGAGGCCTATGAGAGGCCGAGCACAGATTATTCTTTCTTTTACACAGTCTTTCTATTGAGGTTAAATCAATCAGGACGCCCAAAAACTTTGCTCTTTTACGCCAGGGCGTCCCGAATTGGCAAAAGTCGGTTGAAACAACCTGAGAGGAAGAATTACGAGCGAGGGAGACGACGGCAGGCGCAAGCCAAATCCTACTGGTGGCAGGGTTCTCCATTGTGCCCGAAATTCTCATCCTTCGACAAACGTGTAAACACGATACGGTGAAGGACATGAAGGTGTTTCCAAGATCGACTTTGGCTTGGTCAGCTGCAGACAGGCCCTGGAGCCCCATGACGAGGTCGTTGGACCTCAGAGGCGGCGGGCCTGGTGACTGGTGGGATGTCTCGCGCTCGGGACCACGACGAGCAGGGGACGCCAAAATGCACAGACAGTATAGCACGACCAAGAATCCAGCCACGAATCAGTGAGCGCTTCGAGGGCGAGGTGAGATCGAACTGATCGCCATACTTCACGTCCCAAGCCAGCACGTGAAAACCTTGCGCCGCCATCGCTCGACCAAGCCGAGCAGTTCCAGCGAACACCTCCAAGAAGACTCGCATCCTCAGAAGGCGCGGCACCCTCAGAGCCCCGTAGACCCGGACACGCTAGACCCGGACACCCAACATCCCTCGAAACCAATTTTTCAAAACGGCGGCACGAACAAAATACTGCACTGCAACACTTCCAGAATAAACCCGGACACAGGCCCCAAAAGCCTGCAAGACACCCCTAAACCCGGACACAAACCCGAATCCTGCAGTGCAGCTAACAAACAATGCACGGGTTCTGAAAAATGTGACTTTGCAGAAAAGGGTGTCGTTTCCTTGGTTCTCCGTGTCCTGGTTTATCTGTGTCCTGGTCTCCGGGGGCCTGACACCCGCGTGGCTGCAGCGATCCGGAGAGCGCCGCGGGGAGGTACTTGTGGCACCAGCGTACTTGGTTCTGGATGCGGAGCGGCAGTTTGGCGGACTCGTTGCCCACTCTGCCCTTCAGCTCGTAGTGCCCGACGCCGGCGACTGTGTGCCACCGCCCCTGGCGCTTCGCCCCGACCAGCGCCCTGCGCTGCTCGGCGAAGTCGCGGCCGGCGCCCACGTGCCGCGGGATGTAGGGCGGCAGAGGGCGCTGCAGCAGCCGCTTTGCGCCGGCCGTCTCGAAGCACCGCGTGAACTCGGCCTGACTGAAGGCGAACAGGAGCTCCTGCGGGTCGCGGCCCAGCACGAGACGCTGGCAGAGCGGCACCAACCACTGGTCCTCCTCTAGGTTTAGCAGCAGCGACTCGTCGATCTCCCCCGTCTTGCTGGTGCACACGGCCATGTCCCAGTCGTCCAACACAAGCAGCTGCATCAGGATGGCAAACACCACTTTGACCGGCAGCGGCAGGCGGCTGGAGGCGGGCGCCAGGAGTCGCCAGCCCTTCAGCGCCTGCCGCGAAAGGGGAAGCCCGTGTCCTCCCCCGCGGCTTGGGCGAGGGTCTGCCCAGGCGACTGCCGCCATCATGTTCGACCCGCGCCAGTGGTCGTAGCCCTCCATGTACTGCTCGTTCATCCAGTCGCTCAGGTCGCGGGGGAACTGGCCCGCGGTCCCAGCACCCAGGCGGCCGATCACACGGCCCAACGGGCGCCAGGGCAGCATGTTCGGCGACAAGCCTATCGTCTCCGCACTCGGCGGCGAGGACGCCCTCGGCCGTCGCCGGACCAGCACTGGGGAACCCTGCGCTGGGTAGGTCAGCGCGGGCGGCCTGGGGCCCACCTGCGGCGCCACAGCTGTCCCCTGCGGCGCGGTGGCCCCCCTGGCCGTCGACCTTGCTAGCCGAGGCGCCTCCGTATCCAGCGTGGCCGAGCCCCCGCGACGGCCCGTCGGCATGGTTCCACTCGCTGGGGAACCAGCGACCCGAGAAGACCGCGCCCGTGGCAAGGCCATGGGCGGCCGCGGATCGAAGAGCGGCGCAGACGCCGACGGCGGATGAGCGTCCCTTGCACAGAGCCAGTACGCACGTAAGGGAATCCAACATGAGAAGGTGTCGACGTCCAAAATTCTTCATAGATCGGCACACATGTTTTACAGCAGCAGTGAGGCCCCGAGCCTCTCCCTGAACGATGTTGGAGATGGGGACCTCCCATTTCTTCCCCATCAGCACCGCCCACCCCCTCTCCTTCAAGATCTCCGGCAGATCCGAAAGGGCGTCCTCTCTCTCCTGACTGTCCTCCTCCACCTTCTTCACCCAGTCGCCGGTGTCGAGCTCCCAGTCGGGCCCCAGAACCCCTTCACGAGACCTGACCTGAGCCTTACCCGAGAACCGCCATCGCTCACTGACACGCCCTAGTTGTTGAACAATGTCCGGAGGGAGGTCCCGTGAGACGACGCCGTAGCCCCAGAAAGAAGCGTCTGATGCCATAACCTTTGAACTCCACGGAGCCCCAAAATCACGACGAATCAAAGGAATGACGTTCCTGAAGGCCTCGAGTTCCCAGCGAACAGACTCCCAGAGCGGTGCGGTACCGTGATCACGATGACGAGCGATGAAGGTGTAGACGGACCGGAAGATGGAGAGCGAGGTCCGAGAGAGGAGGGCTAAGAAGGTGCAGTGTCCCACCACTTTCTCGATGTCGCGGGCGGACACCTTCTGCGTTTCTAGCAAGCCGCCCAGCGCTAAACGCATTGCGCCACGCACGTTCTGGTCGAGGTCGAATGAAGCCCAGTCTTCCGTTGATCTCCCACCCAAGAACCTCCTCCTCCAGTGAGCTCGTGGCTACCTCGTGTGTTGGAAGGCCCCGGGACTGCAGAGCTTCATCGACCTGACGCACCAGCCGCTCGACCGTCGATCGGCAGGTACCCAGCGCCAGAAAATTATCAACGTAGACAGTGTGGCACGCAGGGGTGGTCGCAGGCGCTGGCCCTCGGTCGTGCAGAAACGAGGTTGGCTCGAGGCCCGGGATATCCTGGATGATACGGCGGTGCAGAGTCTGGCAAACCCACAGTGCGTGCGACCATCCCATGGGAAGCACTCGAAGCCGCGGGTACACCGAAGTACCCGGGCTCACTCTCACGCCGCCCACCTCAGCAAGGCCAGCCACCCAGGCCGGCACCGCCGGCAGCGCGAACAAGTTGCGCACGCGCTCCGGCAGCTCGAAGTGGTAGAAGGCATCCTTGATATCCACGTGGCCCACGCACAGCCGCGCCCCGTCCGGCACCTCTAGGTTCCCGTGGCCGGCGCCCGTGCTGAGCTGGACGGGGTCCGCGGCCGAGAACCAACAATTGGAGCGACGGCAGTCGACGACCAACCGCTGGCTACCATTTTTCTTTCTCACGAAAAAGAGCGAACAAAACTCCTGCGGCTGGACGGTGTAGTCAATCATCCTGGCCCTCTCGAGCCTCTTGACCAGCCGCTGGTATGCGCGCGGAGAGTTCCGAAGCACCTCGTCCATGTACGTCTCCCGAGGGGCCCCCTTGAGGTTGTGGGAGGCTGCTTCTGATTTGAGAAGATGAGAGCCAAGAAACCCGTCGACTTCAGCTTGACCACCGGCCCCAAAAAGTTCTGCCAGGGGAACGGGACGATTACCGCTCATCGGCAGGGAGGCCTTCATATCGTCGTAGGGCACCACGGTGGACTGCACGTCCTCGTACACCGTGCACCCCCGGAGCTCCTGCAGGGCTCCCGAGGGCGAGAGAGCTGGTGGCGGGCCCATCGCCGCGGCGGCCGCATATACACGTCGCTGCACAGCCCCGTGCGGGGCCCGCCCCTCGCCAGGCTGCGAGACGGAAGACCCCCGCTCGCTGCCCGCCAAGTCGTTGAGAGTGTAGATCGCTTGGTTGGCTAGGCTGGCGACGGCCTGGCGCCTCAGGATGCGACGCCTCACGCGCCGACATGGAGCCCGAAGTCGGTCGTCGCCTCTAGCCGCTGAGTAGACGGAAGCGTCGATGTCAGCAGTACTCCAAGCAAGATAAGGAAGAGGAAAAATGTCACGGTGGCGCGGGCCGTCCGAGCGCAGCGGCCGAGCTGGCTTATCCGAACCGGGAGGCCCAAGCCCAGGAGGGTGACTATGAATTACGCCTTCATCAGGTACGATGCACTGCAAGCCAGGAGGTAGTGTCGGGGCAGGAGGGCAATGCTGGCACCCCTCCTCCCCGGGGGCTTTCACCCCTTCTCCTTGTTGTTGCCCTTGTTGTTGTCCTTCCTCCTCAGCTCCCTCTCCTCCTTGGCCTTCCTGATGTTCTTCATGATGGCTGCGTCCTTCTCCACTTGCAACTTCACGTGCTCTAGGAGAGCGGGCAGCACCATCATCAAGTCCCCCGCACGGCTGAGGCCTGAGAAAGCCGTGGCCTCCTCGATGGATAGCCGCGAGGTGGACCCTGCGTCCGTCTCCCTGATCTTATCATGGTAGGCCCACTCGATGGTCTGCACCCTGCGCGCCGCCGCCTCCATGCACGCCAGGTTCGTCACATCCAATTGGTCACACTGCCCCGCAAGCTCGATGATGCGAAGCAAGGTCTCGTGCTCGGCCACCCCCCACTGCTCAGGCTTCAGCGAGCACGTGCTGCGGAACATCAGATGATGGTCCAAGGGGGTGTGCCGACGACGTAAGAAGTGTAAGCACCAGCTCATGCTGCGGGGCCCGCTCACAGGGAAATCCTCGAACTCCTCTTGTTGACAGCTATCCACCACATCACGCCAGTCTCGCATGCGGCCCTGCGGGTTGAACTTGATGGCCAGCGTGCGCGCATCCTGCGCCGAGGACTCCTTGGGCGGGGGTCGCGGGGCCACCCTCTTGACAAAATCGCCCTCGTCCTCGTCACTGAACTCCACGAACACTGAGTCCTTGCCGTCGGGCGAGTAGACGCCCTTGCATCCGATGTACACCGTCACGGGCTTCACCTCACGGCCCACGTCGTAGCCCAACGAGTTGCCTTCCTCTACCACGCGCCACACGCCGGTCCTCGGCGTAGCAGTCCCTGCCACCATGGCTCCTCCCGCGTCCGCGCCGTCAGGCGCACCGTCTCGGAGCGCCGGCTGCACGAACCCCGCGCCTACGACCTCCTCGATCGGCACCCTGCGGCCGCCCGGGGCCCGGGCCACGGTCATGGTGACAGGGGTCACGCCATGCTCCCGAGCGTCCATCAACGCCATGGTGGCACCCTTCTTCACGCACTTCTCTAAGAGGGCCCCGTCGATCTCGCCTCGCTGGAAGGAGTACACGGCGTCCTGGAAGCCAACAGGGAGGCGTCCGTCGGCCGCCGGGCGGATCCACTCCACCGGGCTATCGTCGGCGCTTCCCCCCTCGATCGTCTCCACATACATGTCTCCGTCGGGTGTTGCCACCACCCAATGCACAGCCCCACTCTTGTCGACGGGCAGCGCCCAGCTCAGCACTCGCTCATGCCAGAGATCGTCCGCGGCGTAGCGGACTAGAATCACGTCCCCCGGCACTAGGTCGGACGATGACACCACGGCCAACATGCTGTCCTCGACGAGCGCACCCTTGAACAAGGCAGGCGACCGAGCCAGCCCCGCAGGCCCAGGCCACCGCGCCGATCAGCACCACGGCCTTCAGCGGCAGGCAAGCGGCCAGGCGGCCGTCGGCGCCCGCGTCCTCGCGGGCCGGCGAGGGGCACGGCGCCACCTCCTCGCGTGCCGGCGCCTCACACGGCGGGCACGCGGGAGCCGCGCAGGTCACCTGCGGGCAAGTCAGCGCCGGCGGCGCCGGGGGCGCCGGGCAGGTGAGCGAGACCG